AGGTCATCCCACGCATTCCACTGCCACAGCAAGCAAATGCTAAAAGAGAGGTAGTCAGTAGACATGTGCGATTCGTTTCGTTCCGAATCGAAATTCGGACGAATTTTCGGAAATTCGGACATTCGGATGTATCCGAATTCCGAATTACAGACATAACGAATGCAAACGATACCGAATTTCCATTTCTGCCACAGCAAGCAAATGCTAAAAGAGAGGTAGTCAGTAGAAAATTTCGTCCGAATCCGAATTCCGAATCCGAATTGACTTTCACACCCGAATCCCGAAAAATGAAATAACACAAATCCGAATTTAAAACTAAACGCAACGAAACAAATTTTTTGGCAGTGCACATGTCTAGTAGTCAGTAAAAACAAGAGATGTAGTAGCAATTATAATGACCATCACAATATCTTTATATCATAACATAACTGTACTCCTGCACACAATTGCTCTGGAGTCCTAATACACACTTCAAAAAAAAAACTGTAACTACAGCTGTCAGTTTTTATCTGAGGAGAAGCACTGGAATATTTTAAAACCTTAGGAAGACTGCATTAGTTATACAGGGTTAGTTCAGTGCTGGCCAGGATGACCAGGAACTCTGATGGTGATAAATCTGGAGTACTAAGACAGCTCAACAAATTTCCCTTAATGCACAGCCTGCAAAGAGGGATCTGTGATAATCAATAGCAATTCTGAAGTTCTTCTCCTGAATGTCTGATGTTAGCTGTTATGACTAAAAATTTAATGGGGTGGTACAGGGTCAGTGTCAACAGCAACCTCTGCAGTCCTTAAAGCTGAAGTGTAGTGTATGCATATAATACCTTCACTTGTTTTCCCCCTCCTCTGTTAAACATGCAAAAATATTTTTTTTAATCAAAACTTTTTGATGGATTTGTGTCATCTTCACCTTCACATAGATTTTCTATGTTTACATTTCCTCAACAGCCCACCTAATGGGCCCCTCTTCCACCCCCAGACCCCATAACAGCCGTGTGGGCTGCTATGGCTCTTATTACGCCACTGGGTGTTTGACTTTAACCAGTTGACATCCACGGTGTTAAACCCCCTTCCCATCCAGGCCATTTTTCAGTATTCAGTACTTTACAATAGCTTTTTTTTTGCACTTTACAAATGGATAGTAAAGAAAAGAACAGCTGCAAGAAAACCATAAGGACTTGGTTATATATATTTATATAAAAATAGTACATCTCAATTCAACAAGCTAGCTGCAACTTCTGTTGCTTTTTGATTTTTGGTTTTCATTCCACCCTATAGATTATAGATACCACAGTTTAAGAGCCCCTGTCTGAGTGGATGATATGTAAAGCCAGGGTATGATATGTAAAGCCATATGTAAAGCCAGAAGTTATGGTGTACCCCTTTTAAATAAACATTTTTGAAACTTATACAGATGTTCTACCAGCTTGGAATTACATTAACTGTTTAGCAGAGCTCAATGTCCTTAAAGAGAACCTGTCAGGATAGAAGCCAATTCTCACCTGTTGGTTCTGAAGATGAATGCCTCCTAATCCTGGTTTTACTAGTTAGTGAGTCACTGACCTAAACAGGCAAGTGAAGTATTAGGACACCAGATATTCTATTACTTGGTCTAGATCATTGACTTATTAGGCAGGGCTAGGATGACAGCAGTGGAACGTGTACCTTTAACACAAGCAATTGTCAGGTTCCTCTTAAAACCTGACCCACAGCGGCCTAGTTTTACTGCAATTCCATATTTCATCTGCAGCGCCCCCACAGTTGTTAAATCTATACTCTCACTTTCTCTCATCCGTTAAAATGAGGCAATATGACAAAAGTCAAATATGTCTCATTGTTTTTCGTGAGGGGGCTTTGAAGCAAACTGAATATTTTTACTGGAACATTATAGAGCCTTTTTTGTAGGATACAGTCTTTAGTTCTTTAGTGACCCTGT